CGTGCGTGCATGAGTGTGTGCGTGCGTGTGCACGTACACGTGCGTGCGTGCGCATGTCCACGTATACGTGCGTGCGTGCGTGCGTGTGCACGTACACGTGCGTGCATGAGTGTGTGCGTGCGTGTGCACGTACACGTGCGTGCGTGCGTGCGTGTGTACGTATACGTGCGTGCGTGCGTGTGATTGAATGGAACAATATCACGCATCTGCTTGCTGCCAACCGTTAACCTGCGCATATGACGTCAATGTTTATAAACATTAAAACAACGTCATGTAGTAGTATATATGCGTGTATACATAAACTATATATGTGATTTCAGATCATTATATGCTCGGGATTGCAATAATTGTAGATCCGACCTGTGCATAACGAAAATGTGTGCTTGAAAAAAATAATGATCGGAAAAATTATTGGTCCGGCCATGGCCGGACTTGCCGGACCGGCTCCGCCGGCCCTAAGGAAGATGGATGGATGGAAGGGCAAGTGAGTGGTTGGGTGGATGAATAGAAGGATATGTGGGTGGGCGAGTCGATGGACATATGGAGAGATGTGTATGGGTAGGTGGGTGAACGGAAATATATGTGGGTCGGAGAACAAATTGCTAAACGAAAGGATGTGCAGGTAGGTCGATAGCTAGATGAAAAGGTGTGTGGATGGGCCGGTAGGAATAGTGGAAGGATGTGTGGATGAGAAGGTGGGTAAATGAATAGGAGGATGTGTGGATGAGTAAGTAGGTGGATGAATAGGAGGATATGTGTGGGTGGGTGGGTCGGTGAGTGTATGGGTGAATGAATGAACGGGAGGATGTGTGAGTTGGTAGGTGGATGAATAGGTGAAATGATGTATGGGTGGTTAAATTGATGGATAGGTGCGTGTGTGATGATCGGTGACGAACAAATGAGTGAATGGGAGGATGTGTGGATCGATGGAAGAACGTATATGTGGGTGGGCGGGTAAAAGGATGGATGGATTGATGGATACATGGCATGGATGGACGAGCGGACGGGTGGATGAAACGATGTGAAGGTTGGTAAATGGATGGATGGATGGATGGATGGATGGACTGACGGACGGAGATGGATGGCTGGATAGATGGATGGATGGGTGGGTGGATGGATGGCTGGATAAATGGATGAGTGGATGGATGGTTGGAAGGCGGGATGTGTGCGAGGGCGGGTCGATAAATGGAAGGACGTGTGAATGGGTAGACGGGTGAGAAGACGTGTGTGTGGTGGTCCTGGTGGATGAGCGGAAGGATGTGTGTTAGCGTTAACTAGTACCACATCAGCCTAGCCAAAAAATGAATTTCGTAAAACTGACATAATTATGAAAATATTGCGGCTGCTGCGTATCGGGTTGGTCATGTTGATTTGCGTGCGACGCTGTCGGTCAGAGCTTCGTTGAAAGAGCACTATAGTCGACAGCATGAGGGCTATAAAATCAAGAGCATATAAAGAAGCTTCTTTATATGCTCTTGATAAAATCAGGAGTGTATAATAGTGTAATAGTGTATTATACACTCCTGATAAAATCCATTCTCCTGTGTGCCAGTGTCGCAAATATGTCAGGCAAATATGATAAATAATAATGAATATGATACGCAAAATAATTTGTTTTTGCTAGAGCAACCGTATTGACTTGCAATAGCGCCAGCAACTATGTTTTTTTAGGAATTTATGGATTTTGCTCAGTGAAGTTCGTTGCAAGGGAACGATTGGTATGAAGCATAGTGATGTATACCAGTATACGAGATGATTTTCTTGTGCCAGAGTACACGACGAGCGACCCCATTGCTCCTATCATAATGCTGCTATACTTTCGCGGCTATTGAATGAGACGTTTATGATTAAACGACACAAGTAGAAACCATAAAAATACGTTTTTCTAACAGAAGTGTTTTGTGTTGAATGAAAACAAAAAACGCCATATTAATTGAACTTACACAGTTTAAATATATGCACAGAAAAATATCAAATTAACGTGTTTCATGGTTGACATTGTAATATTATACACGTGCGTGCATTTACGTACAGGGCTACTCACGCTCGCATCCGCACCTGCTTTCACACGCTTACGCATGGATCCCCCCCCATTCACACTTACACACTGTCATACGCATTTATTCAATTATTGTATTCTGTTCTCTTGTGATTTTTAGATATCTTGTTCTCGATTTCTTATCTTGTTATTCATTCGCTTGTATTATTAAGATAAATATAGCCTTTTCGTAACGACAACAACGATGTTCCAGAGTCCATATTACCATGTGGCTTTACATAGTACGTATCTTATTTGCACAGTCAACAACCGTACAGTAATTTACACACGCACGTATTCACTCACGCACGCACACACGCATGCACGCACGCACGCACGCACGCAGCACACTACACACACCACCATCACACGACCACACACACACACACACGCGCGGCGGCGCGCCGCGCTGGGTATGTAGTGCAGATACCTATAAACTATTATTGTTTTATATTAAATGTAAACCTGTCCGACAGTACGCGATTTTAAATGATAGGCTGACAAATCCGTTTATTTGCAATATCTATTTATGACTATTAGTAACTAAAATAAATTTCGTATGGATAAAAGTTCAGAAATTGCAACTAGTTAGTAATGCCCTAGGCTCGGCGCCTGGTTGATGAAATGTAATGTCAAAGTAAGGTCGACAAAGGCTATGATGGGCTCGAGTGGAGGCCTAGTATAGGGCTCAATAGAAGCGTAACCACTCCATAATTTTAGTAGATAGTATTACAATGCGACGCATGTCTAACGGAAAGTAGTTAGATGAAGTTTCGTACAATCTATTAAGTAAGATGATATGGAAGTCTATTATAGAATGAAGGTAAGCCCTTACTATAGCAATTAGCATCCTAATGTAAACTGCGCGGCATCGTTACTAGGTGCACTTTTGCCCATACGTGTATGTGAGGCAAACTGCCACTATAAGCGCAGACGTTCATTTGCGTGGACGTTTCAGTGCTTTTGCTGTAATGAGTTGGGGACCGAACATTTTGACTTCTTTTCGTGTGGTTAGGATTCTGACAATACATCAAAAATCTCGTGGTAGGTTTGGTTTTGCTCTCGAGTATTGTAAACGTGCCTTACTTGAATATCGGGGCTGAATAATAGCTTGAAATTCGCAATATAGTAGGCCTACTCGTTATTTTAGGCGATGTTGTAATATGTCTAACTGCCTGTATGTGGGAACTAAATTGTGGCTGTCCTGGGTTATAATTAGTTGCTGTCGCCAGGCCTGGCAACGCCTGAGCAGTACGTTATGAGTATAATGGAATATGGACATCTCTCAGTGGAAGCATGTAGCAACTTACTGCTAATTGTTTCTTCGTTAATACAACATTGGCTTCGGTAAGAACCACGTTACCAGGAAAATATTAGAATCGAACTATCTAGCTATCCACTAGGAGTAATGTTATATCACAACCCTCTGTATATTGTAATATGATTGAATTCAAAATAGGAAATCTGAAAAAAAATATGAAAATGTTGTTTGATGTTGCCTGGCCTCAGTGCATAAATGTATTTTTAGTAAGCGATATATATATATATATTATATTATTAGATAGATATACTATGTGTGTGTGGTGTGTGTGTGCGTGCGTGCATGCGTGCATGCGTGCGTGCGTGCGCGCGTGTGTGTGCGGATTAATGTAACGCCTTTCTTCACAGCTCACGGGAGCATCATTTTTTTTTTTTTTATTTTTTTTTTTTTTTTTTTTTTTTTTTTTGTTTGTTTTTTTTTTTTTTTTTTTGTTTTTTTTTTTTTTTTTTTTGATGCTGGCAAGTATTTTAACATTTCACTCAATAAACGTTATTAGAGACGAGCGTCGTGCCTGGGAGTTGTTATTGTGTAATGAACACAAGTCATTCATTACTCATACGAATTCAGATATCTTCATTGTAGCATATATGCTGTACTAACTCGGTGGTTTACACTAGGGAACGATCAGACGGTGGTTCGTAGGGTAACGATCGGCGGCTGAGATTGACAAATTTCCATATGCATTTTTAGTATCAGAGGCTGCAGTGCCTTGGCAGGGTACACTAGAAACGAAAGTGTACGGAGCAGCATGCCCGCAGATTCCCCAGGGAAAACTTGGACAGCTAATCAAGAAAGTTCATGAGGACTGCCTTTATCTAAACGTATTTTCGCCAAACGTAAGTATAACTGCATAGAGCAAATTTGGTCTCCTCTGCTTTGAGCTGTTTTGAAAGTATTTCGTTAATTCATAAGAGCACGCGTTTTTTTTAATTAATGAAAAAGTAAACGTACGCGAAATATGCATTAACATATAAATAAATGGCCATATCACAAACACTGACCTGGAATATATCTGCCGCTTCTTCAGTTCGAGGATACGCGCGAGTTTCAACCCTGCATGCGCTTAAAAAAACACAAAGTTTACCACCGCCTTACTTTACCTTTAGTTTTGCAAAAAGGTCGATGACCTCAGAAAGTCACTGGTGTTATGATTATACAAACTCATTATTGAGTACTGTAGGCCCTATGTATAGTATCTCACCGTTCATACGCCGAAGTTGCTCAGGGACTGGAAGCATACCCGGGGTTACATTTCCTCGTAGAATAGCGCGGCTATAAATATATATGTATGTTGTATGGTATTAATATATATATATATAATTATATAGTATATTATTATATAGAAGGAGAGAGAGAGACGTAGAGAGAGAGAGAGAGACGAGAGAGAGAGAAGAGAAGACGAGAGAGACTGAGCTGAGAGAGAGCGAGAGAGGATGGTGGGCTGTATGTGTATGTAAACTGCAATATATAGTGCTTAGTGGGAACAAATAAAAAAGTATTCACATTGCTTGCTTTGTCTGAGAGTAGACGTCGCAGACAATGACCAGAAGTACCCGCGTCATCAGCCAATCCATGTGCCGGATCGTTTCACACGCGTTCGCGGAGAGATATATCCCGGTTTACAAAGCTCGCCACACTGGGAGTCGAGTGATCGTCAGCGTTTACTACCGACATCGGAGCGCTCCGGTAAGACAATTTGTGCGTTGTGTGTGTGCTGTTGTGTGCTGTTGTGTGGTGTTGTGCGTTTGTTGTGTGCTGTTGTGTGTGTTGTTGTGTGTGCGTGTGTTGTTGGTTGCTGCTGTTGTGCTGTTGTGTGTTGCTGTGTGTTGTGTGGTTTCTGTGTAATGTTGTGTGTTGCTATTGTTGTTGTTGTGTTCTTAGTTTTGTTGTGCTGGTACTGAGACAATGTAATCGAGCGCGCAAATCCATTTTGAAATGTTTGGTTGGGCACGTCCAGTAGCTGAGACACGCGAAGGGGGGGGGGGCGGTCGGGGGTCAGAATGTTTTTGAAATTAGACCCCTCAGATAGCCGTTTTCTGCGCGAGCAGAGGGGTCCGCGACCCCCCTGCGACCTCCCCCCCACCTGACACGCCCCTAGCACTACACACACACACACACAACACACAACATCACACATGCACACATCACACACACACACATGCATTTGGTTTTGAAGATTAAGATTACGACAAAAGTGGTGTCACTGTCCACGGTATTGCAGTCATAATAATCAAGAAAACAATAAAGCAGTAAAAACCATATCATTTGGGTGTGAGGCTGATCAGCAAAATAAATTGGCTTGTTGTATTAGTGTTGTCTAGTCATATTCATGATTTATGCCGTGTAATATTATTCATAAATTTTGCAACGAGAATTACATTTCATTTAAAACGGATTGCTTCAGTTCACTGCCCAGTGTCCTGCTTTTGCCGTGAATATAGTCGTGTTCCCAGCTTAATCTTTGTAATCAGTGCCTAATGGGGAGTGATATCTCCTAAACACTTTCATCAAACATTACTTTCTCTTGATGTATGCTGCATAGAATTATGTTAACTATATAGAAAAAAACTACGTGTAAAATACTAAAACGTGCGTACTAAATTGATCAAGACACGATTTTCCTTAAGTTTGTGGCATGAGTCTATTATGCTTTACTCAAGCCACTTGAATGAAATGAAGCTGCGAAAGAGATATCTAGAGATAGATGATAGAACAAGAGGGAAGTAAGCCTAGCCTTTGACGACACTAATCACACACAATAAAAAGATCTCACTTTCACAAAACACACACACACACACACACACACACACACACACACACACACACACACACACTTACACACAAAATCATGGTGATCCAAAATCGTGGGGGGACATTTGATATGATGTCCCCCCTCTGAAAATTCGTGGGGGGACATGTCCTCCTGTCCCCCCCCCTGGATTTGCGCCCCTGAATGTAATGTGTTTACGGTGTCTTAAGTTGCGGCGATAGAGGTGACGAAGGTTACAAGACAATATCAAGTAAAAGTAGCTGTCACGCATTATATTTCAACTTAGTTTGTTATGACCTGATTATTTTTACTTTGCGCATGGTTTTCCCGTTGCAACACTCTATATATCTATCACTCTTGGTCATATATTGCTCGTAGCTTCATGTGTTGCCTGTAATGGTGAACTTGTATGCAGAACATTTTTAACATACGACAGGATTCCTTACGACCAACAACGAGTACGCACCAGGCAATTACGGTATGATGGATCAAGTGATGGCCATGAAATGGGTTCGTGAGAACATACGAGGCTTCAACGGCGATCCCGGACTCGTGACCATCATGGGGGAGAGTGCTGGTGCCGCTAGTGTCGGTCTGCACCTTCTATCAGAGCAGTCTCAGGGTAGGTTATATATCAGCTCGTGTATCATCTTTCTTCCCTCGTGGGGAGATCAGAAAAGTGTCAATAGTTGTAGTGTATCAAAGACATGCACCTAAATGCATCTCTCGGGCATATTGTAATATGAACATGAAATTACATATATTTATATATATTTACTTACGGATAATTACGACGTATCTAGATGCCCTGCGTAAAATTAGCTGGATTTAAGAAACTTTTCATTGATATTCTATAATCATGCCATAGATGATACCATCATTCTAATAAACAATTTGAGCTTGGCATATATCCATACAAATATTAATTATGAATAGATATTGTTCCCTGTCATTGGTCATGTTTAAACGATCGCATCTCAGTCAAAACTCGCGTACGTGTTTAATTAGACTCACGTAATCGGATTAGATTATGAACGGCATGCGTCTTTCCGAAAATTACGAATTTTTCAATACTGAAACGGAATTGACATTGTTCAACGCCATAAGCACGCACGCAGCAAACGGTTATGAGGGCCATAACCACGAAAGCGAATTTCGCGCTCCTTGCGATCTGCTTGTGATTGCATCTGCGTTTATTATAGATCTATTTCACCGAGCGATATGTATGAGCGGATCTGGGCTAGCGCCGTGGGCGGTGTACACCAACAGAGACCAGGCCTATAACCATACCAAAGAGCTCGGCCGCAAGACGGGCTGCTACACAGACGAGAAGAACCAGAAGCCGCAGGAGATTATCGACTGCCTAAACATCAGAACGTCGATCGATATATCGGAAGCGGTCGTCGTGGTAAGGCACACGTTTGTGCTATCGTGAAGGGGGAATCAGTTCCGCGATTTCTCATCGCATATATCGTATAAATATATTTCCATATCAATCGATTTGGTTAATTTGGTCGTCGTGGAAAAGCACACGCTTGTGCTAAAATCATGGAGAAATATGGATTTCCCCCACTCTCTGCAATGTGCACCATGTCACATTTCCTGGTTCAGTCATGTCTATGATTTTGCCTCCCGTCTCGAATGTTTAAGCAACCAATATTAAAAGGTACTTTATTGAGTTCTGATCATACCTTACGTTGCAATCCACCACTGTCAAGCATGTATCTAAATAGCGCATGTGTCTTACTACTTCATACAGCCGGATTATGGGATGCGCCCTCCTTGGGCCCCGGTCGTGCAGGGCTACTACCCTTACGTGTTCTTGCAAGACGACCCAAGAAAGCTTCTGCAACACGGCGCCCTAGTGACCAAGGTTCCAGTGATGCAGGGAGTGGTGAAGGACGAAGCTGGCGCATTTCTCTGTATGTACAATAATTTATAGCGTTGCCAACGATATCTATGGCAATTAATGGGCTACTTGTGTATGGTATAGCATTAATGTCATACCGGAATAGTCATGTTATTTATATAACATAGACATTGTAACTAAACTTGCTATTTAATCAACGCAATTGACGAATTTAGCAGAATTTTTGCCATTCCTCAACAAGAGTCTATCTTACCAGCTGCTCCGTGCATGCCTGTTTCTGCAGATGATTCGGACCCGGATTATTCGCTGACCTTGCCAGAATTTTACTCCACGATTCGTGAGTTTGTGAAGAAGGAGAATTACTCACTAGAGGAAAGTGTAGTCACTGCTATTGGTGACTCAATGATATTCGAGTACACGTTTCACCCGGACGCGGAGAACCTGACCGTCGTGCGACAGGAGATGATAAACGTACGATATGTTTAACGTTGGGGGACATTCACGTGTGGGGAGATTTTGACATTTTACTATTTTTTACGTCGTTTATAACATGATCGGTCAACAAAAAAAGTTTATGTTATTGTGGGTCGTACTAAAATAAAATCTCCATAAGGTCTATAAAATTGAATCTAGACGCGTGCTTCAGCGCGATGTTTCGTTAGTGCCTAGTCTAGTTACATTTACTGTGTGCGCATTGCGCGGTGCATTATTTAAGATTCTAAACTTTAGTAATATTCGGTTCCCATTTTATAGTTGCTGTCAGATCACCAGTTTAATGCTCCCAACGAGCTATCTGCCAAATACCACGCCCAGCACGGATTGGATGTGTTCGAATACACATTCGATTACAGAGCCGACTTTAGTAGATACCCAAACTGGACGGGTATGTATAACAAGAAATACACTGTATAGCGTGGAAATGCATTCGCGCAATATTTATCACGTTCATACCTTTAGTACTATTCGGTCTGGTGACTCTGGTCTACTAGTTATTAGTCTGCTAGTGTAGTCTATTAGTTCAGTTTCGACTAGCAGGATACCGCGCACATACAGGTGCTGAGAGGGTCTATGTCTCCCTGGGTACTGCCAGAACGTACCCTGGGTACGGTCCGGTATACCGAAACGTACCTTGGTACTATCTAATATGCCGGACCGTACCTCGCCTACTCCACTAACGAGTGTAGGAAGTCGCCTACGCCTACTCCCTAACCCTAACCCTAACCCATACTAAACAAATCCATTAACAGATTTTACCACCCTTCCGAGGCTGGTTTATTCGGGAGACGGCAATGCAGAGGTTAAATGATATATGCGTGTGTACGCAATTTACGATTCCTGTAATAAGATACGGAGTCCAGATCCTAGTATTCAACGTTCACAGGACTGTGTGCAATGGGGCAATGGTGGTCTATGAAATGTCACACTTGACTTCGGACTGAGAGGTCCTGTCGTGGTCATTGCTGTTGTATTTCTGAGCAAGCAATCCATGCCGATTTGCTTCACTCAACACCTGCTATGGAAATAGGTTTATCTTGCCGGATTGAGGCTCGCAACCTAACCTGCGTGACAGAGCGTAGCTTTTATGGACAAAGCCTATTAATGAAACTAAAGCAACTTAGTTGCCGAGGGCCCATGCTCCCCGATTGAAGTCAAGGGACTAAAAGAAAGAAGAATATGTTTCCAAGCCTATATACATACATGTGGCGATATAATAATCACGATGTTTGCAACTCTGAGTCACTCGTCCGTCTCGATTTACAGGTGTGCCCCACGGAATAGAGTTAAACTACGTGTTTGGGATGCCGTTTCTGTTACAAGTCTATCCCGAATGGGAAGACTACGGCATGACCAACTACACACTCGATGACAGGAACGTCAGTGATTTCATGATGAATATGTGGATTAACTTTGCCAATTATGGGTGAGTAGGACGGTTTGTTCAGGCGGTTAGCTTGCAGTTAAAATGCATCGCGTGGCTTATATACTAGGCATATATATATATATATATATATATATATATATATATATATATATATATATATATATATATCGGGAACGATATGGATCAGTCTCAAAGTGGGATCCACAAGAATCCTTATTTAAACCTTATACAGAACCCTGTAATTGATCCCTTATTAAAGCCTCTTTGTCAGTACCAAATAGTGGTACCTCGACTGCGAACCTCAGGATTACCCGCGTAACGTTTGCTCCCCAACAATCTTGGCCTTGTGAGCTATGGCCCCATATGTAAAACGGGGGTCTGTCGAGCCAGGACATGTTCAACAGAAAACTTGGGGCCGCCGCCATTGCTCAATAATGAGAGCCAGGGCAGTATTAGCTCCTTTTACTGTTATTCCGCTATAGAAATGCTGCTACGACCCATAAAGTCATAAGCATAAGGTCACCAAAGGACCAAAGCTAATCGATACTTTGCGATCTCATATTTAGAGATAACATATTCCCAGGCTGCGAGAAAAACCACCTACTACCTCGTTAGATATTTGGCGACTATATCGTAGCCTACATATTTCATATTTCGATATACTATACAAAATTCAGTGATAATCAGAATAATCAGATCAGAGAATGTTTTAGTCACCAGGTTCGCTATTTTGTTTACTAACTCCTTGTTCGGGTGTCTGCACGCGTGCTCGTGCGCGCGCGTGTGCGTATGCGTGTGCGCGGGCGTGCGCATGTGCGTGCGTGTGTTCGTGTGCGTGCGTGTGTCTGTGTGTTCGTGTGCGTGCGTTCGTATGCGCGCGTGCGTGTGTGCGTGCTTGTGTGTTCGTTTGCGTGTGTGCGTGTGTGCGTGTGTGCGTGTGTGCGTGCGTGCGTGCGTGTGTTCGCATGCATGCGTGCGTGCGTGCGTGCGTGTGTCTGTGCTTGTGTGTTCGTTGGCGTGCGTGCGTATGTGTGCTTGGGTGTTCCCGTGAGTGCATGCGTGCGGGTCTGTACCTACGTGCGCGCGTGCGTGCGTGCGTGTGCGCGCGTCTAATCTCTGCTTGCCTTTGACGTGTACCAGGGAACCGGTGCCGGACGCATACAGCAACTTCCCGTACCTGTTCAAGAACGTCTCGCGCTGGTACAAGTACACGACCGATCGGCGCTTCTACCTGCAGATCAACTACACCTGCGAACACCTGGAGGATTACCTGCCGCATCGGTGCGCCTACTGGAACGACTACATTCCCGTCGCTTCCAAGATGGACCTGGTCACAGTGACACCGACGTATCACGGACTTAACCAGCAGCAGGCGAACGCATACATTGCGGCGACTTACTCGCTGGGAGCAGCAGCCTTCATCATGATACTGGCTCTATTCGTCGTCTGCTTCTTATCGGCGAAAAAAACGGACGATGGCACCGAATTCGACTGATAAAGAGTTAAGACTATATTTTAAGACTATAAGAATTCGACTGAGCTGAGTTAAATCTGGGCAGTGGGCGCAGCGTGATGCGGTCTTCTGCTTGTACCATTGTATTGCCTGTCACCATTATAACCGCCTCCAGTAACCGATAGAAAATTTTCTCTCAATATTTCTTGTAGTTTTTTTTCTCTCTGAGCGTGGTAGAAAGTATCGCGCAATATTCAGAGGGAAAGCATTAAACAGCATGAAATTTCCATTTACTTGATTAGTCATAGTGTGAAGTTGTAATGTCATAGACGTTTTAATTCTCTGCCGTCATCTGTGTGGCCGCAAAATTCAGTAGATTTGAACTGTTGTACTAACCCATCCGGCACTAATGTTCGATCTGTAAATAAATCAGTTATTGCCAATGATGCAGCGTTTAACAATATGAGGGATTTTATTGATGATTGTGTTTTTATAGCATCATTAAATTATAGAAGAGAAGTCGAGTTACGTCTACTGCCCAGACTTTTTCTTTCGTAGTCAATATAATTATATATATATATATATATATATATATATATATATATACGGTTTTAAATAGAAAGGGTACACCACGGATGTGGTTTAGAATAATTTTAAAACTGTTTGCTGCCCAAACTGTATACACATTTCGGCAGCTCATTGTAAATATACACACTTGTAGTTTTTTATGACCAGATATTTTTAGACTTCATCGTATGCATTATTCAACAGGCCAACCTGTTAACGTTGATGATTTGATTGGATAATGTAATCAAGAAATCGTTTGATTTACGTAAACGCGTTTGCTGAATCTTTATAATTGATGTTCTTTATGAAGACAGTAGAACTATTGTGGTTACCTTTAGAACTATATTGATATTGTGATTTTTAAACATATTAATCAATTATCTAAATTGCGTCATCCACGACATGTAAAGAATTGGATGTAACGTGCGGAATTGATTTGTTACTCAATTAATTGTTATTCACAACAATCACTGTAATCTTCATTAATGTGTTAAGTGCGGCAGCACAAATCGAACATTATGTGTGTTACAAATGAAGATGTTTATGACTTTCAATCGTACAGAATTTAAAAAAGGTCATATTCACATTTAATCGCGTTTGTGACGCAAACAAGGTTTGCCACGGTCTGTATTGATTTGTGTGTAAATGGATTTATCAGGAGATTATGGTTACAGATCAGCGATTGTGCGATCCTACATACTAGTAATTAGATGGTTTTACACAAGTGATTTATAATTTCATAAAAAAAATGCGGAAATCAACTAGCAATGCCACCAGTAACATGAAATGTTGTAACTTGTTGATATGCGGACGACTAGTTGAAACGTCGTGACGTACCATATGTAAATTATCGTTAACGAATAAATGCTGATTTTATATATAATTACTGATCAATTTCTAAATCGGTTTTTATTGCCTAAATAAATAGGTATAAGGTTTTTTTTATAATTAGAAAATGACCTTATGAAAGAAAAACATATCGCGGACCTATATTTGCATTACGAGAGAAATTAAGGAAATCGTCGAGCAGAATTTAACAATTGGAATGATGATGCACGCAGTAGTTAGTTAGTACAAGGGCGCATCCCGTATTTGAAGAAATGGGCGCCCTGCGAACAACGAGGTTGTGAAGTCCATGGCGGGGGCCCGGGAGGGGGCCCTCCCCGCAATTGTTTTAATGAACCTTCTTAGATCAAATTTCTTAGGTATCTGACACCAATTGTTTTAATAATCACGCCTATTTTTGAAGGCAAACACGAAAATCATATCCCATATGCACACGCGCAAACGCACACGCACGTGCATGCCCCCTGCACATACACACACATGCAAATTACATATTAATATATACATTAATAAAGTTTATTAATTCAGTAAAATAGAATGCCTGAAATTGGCCATGCCTGATTTTAGAGTCTGTTTTACCAGTCAGCTAGTACCAGAACACGCAATCTCCTACATTATTCCGAAAATGAGTTCTGTACTAACATTCGTCTCGGATATCTGCGAGCATATAAATATACATCGATGATCTTGTCGTACTGCAGTGGAATGGAAGTCGAGCGTACAAACATTTGACTGCAAAACTGTGTAGAAATATAAGTGGCGCCGGATTTAATTTTATTTATTTTGTTTTATTATTTCTTTTCCCTGTGCTTTATATTTTGTTTAAAAAACCTACAGATTGCGAAGTGATCGGCTTTGACTTGGACGAGCCATCCGACAATATTAGACCGCAACAAATTTTGCTTGGCAGAAATTATAGGGGTGGGGGCGCTCCGGCTGCACCCTCTTTGAATCTGCGCATGTTAGTAATTAATAAATTGATCCTACCCGGAGTCAATTATTATTATTATTATTATCATTAAATCGTTATTGCATGTAATTCAAATACAAATACATGTACTGAAGACAGTCTTTTTCATATAATCAAGAGCGTATAAAGAAGGCTTTATACGCTCTTGATATATATATATATATATAATATATGAAAAAGACTGTCTTCAGTACATGTATTTGTATTTGAATTACATGCAATAAAGATTTAAGTATATTATACACTCATTATACAAATACATACAGTCAGCTGATAACATTTTTTTTATAACATAGCTTGCTCTGTTATTAATTACAACAGTGCTCTGTGTAACAAGTTATATATCTGTATAAAACGGAGATTCAATTGCTGTGATGACGCTCCTGTGGAACATATACGGGCGGGGAACCTAATATAGGCATATATTCTCTTACTGAGGGTAAAAGAGGTACATTGTACCAACTATGCTGTTGTTTTCCTGTATATTATTTATATGTTCTAATCCAGTTATCCTCGACCAAAATTGTTTACAGTAGGCCTACTGACTATTGCCGATGCACTAATGTTCGCCAGTCTGTCCGCGTTCCAATATGTCTCGTTCACTCATACTCATATTTCAGCTCTATGTACATCCGTTAATTGTTTATATCTAGAGACATTTATTCATTCATTTTTTTTTAGTATATAGTCGTCTGCATAATAACTAATTCTATAGGGGCGGCTAACTTTGATGACCTGCGGGGTTTTCGCCGTCCCCGTGCTCCATTTAGTAATGATTGTATTTGTTGTTTTTTTGTTCACGGATTTATAATCAATGTGTGATTGTATATAACTTGTATTTATGCGTCTTATGCACAAATAAATTTCTTTGAATCTTGAATGTTGAGTATATAGGGAAGCCACTAAAGGTGAGCAGCGTAGCCCATATAGAGCTCTCTGGGAAGGCGAAGATGTATCCACGGTCCCTTCCTTTCCCTTTCAGTGAGGTGGTCGAAGAGATCATATACTCTCTTATTCAGGAAGGTTTGGAGATATTCCACATTTTTTGAAAGATATTTTATATTTAAAATGTAGGCTATTTTGTAAGAGCTGTAATGATCATTATTTTCCTCTCATTACTAATGGTTAAACGTCGGAGAGTAGTGCAACATAAAATACTTTTTATACTTACTATTCTCTATTTTCAACGAGATATAACATTAAGAAACATCCCTATATACAATTTCCGTGGATCAAGATTTTTTCTAATTAAAAAACACTACTCTCTCAAATATGGATGTACGGATATACGCCCATTAAGTCTGGGAGTGCCCATTGATAAAGCAGTAACATGCTTGTCTTTTTAAACACAATCGATATTTCCATAAGCACATGCATAATTTTATTATAACAACTTTTATGAAAGATTTCCATGAGGACTTCTTTCACGATCTTATTATATATCTTCACATTCACGAAACATTGCACGTACTCTACATAATAATTAATGTCGAAAATTCAAAAGCCAATCAACGTGGGATTCTATAATGACAAATAATATTGTTTTCATTTTTGTTTTGAAAGTGTCCATTTTTGTTTTCAAATTGTTTTAAGAATTGTCAATTTGTCACTCATGATATCCGCTCACATAATTATTTTAGCTACGGGCAGCTACGGGTTATGTAGCGCCTTATTGCGGTAAAATGACAAAGCTGACAATTTTCACCTGCAGGTGGCGCTGGCGCACAGGTAGTTGTTGGTGTATATTTTTGGCGATGTACTTTGGTTATGTCATAACCAAACTTTGGTCATAACCAAAACCATGCATGATTAGTCTTAATCTTATAATGATTGCGTCCAAGGACTGTATCGAAGACGAAGAGAGACCAAGTTGATCAAGTAGGCGGATCAACACTGCAGATTGCAGTAGGATCTTGTATTTTCCGCGAGTACTGCTCGGAGTAGGTCATAGGTGGGTTTACCGTTTTTTACCGTTCGTTTAGCCGAAGGGCGACATTAGGCACTAACAAACTGATTGTATGCGTCGAGTCCTTTGTAGCATTCCAAATCTTCAGTCGTGTAGGGACTCGGAGTGTTGATAAGATAACTGTAAATGTTTGCGTACTTAACTGATGGAAGATACGCAGGATCTGCACTAAAACTGTTACTACTATTACTAAATGGATCCAAATTGTTTATAACTTTCAATTTGTCCAGATATCGGGCTTTTGCTGTACTGTGTACAGTCGAGTGTTTCAAAGTAAGAGACTTTCGTAACACTTGCATTCAGACGTGCAGCGGGGCTTATGTCGTAACTAACGAGATCGTGACGTCAGCGAGACCACTCTCTCTATATATATATATATAGAGAGAGAGAGAGAGAGAGAGAGAGAGAGAGAGACAGGTTCAGCCCTCTGGCTCTACTACTAAACCGGTCTGAAGGTATTATACTATTAGTATTAAATTATAGAAGACACACTCTGATGCATATGCTATTTCTTCCAGCACATGACAACATTGGGTGTTTTTTTTGCGATAACTTGTTCTACAACTACTCATTCATTTACGCTGCTGTTATCAAGAAGCTTGTACGTAGGTAGCTCTAGTACTATAGCCCGCGTACAGTTGCCACTGGGCTATAGCATCAACAATTACGAGTGCTCGGGACCAACTTAGACGTGCTTATACGCAGCTATAAAACGTCTGTGGTAGGCAATTAATGCCTCTTATCCGAAGTGAATATGCCTTAAGTTATATCAGCTACTAAAATTTAACCTCTAAGTTCTAACTATCGTTGAAATGGTCTACTTGCGGTATTTCTGGTGAACGAACATTCGATTTGCCAACTTCAAACGGCCATTTCTGGCGGCGCTGCAGCAGCGCCAGTCAGCAGGAACTATGTATTTCCGAACGTGCAGGGCCGCCCACCCCTCCACGTGCGGAAATACATAGTTCCTGCTGACTGGCTGAAGTAAGTTGGTCCCGAGCACTCGTAATTGTTGATGCTATAGCCCAGCGGCAACTGTACGCGGGCTATAGTACTAGAGCTAGTACGTAGGTCAATAATGGCAACTGTACGAGCCCATGATGCACTCTCTTCCACAGGTGGTCAAAGCACGATGGACAGCATAATTCGCTATATAGGCCCTAATAAGCGAGCTAAGCTAATTGATTCGCATCCTGCCGAATTGATCGCAGCAAAAGCCAAACTGTTTGAGTGTAAGATCACGGATGAGGAGCTATCTACCAGGCTGGATGAAGAGGACCCTCTAGGCCATTTCAGGGAGAAGTTTCACATACCAAAAATGAGAGACTTGCCCTTTAGTAAGTTGACTTCTGTAATATTACTATTAAAGTAATGTACATACATGTACTAATAAGTGCAGCACGTGAAACCAATTCTACACAGGCATAGATTTTGGCATGCATTATATGGCATTTCAGTGAGTATGACAATGTAGGCCTACATTTATGGCAAAATCTATATCAGCATCGAGTGTAGATCTAGAACTATAGTAATCACAAGTATCTAATACATATTTGTTGAAGTTTCTCTGTTTGTCTGTTCTCGATTCAATTCAATATGGGTCACTCTAGATATGTCCAAGGATGGCCATTAGATGAAACATTGGATGCTCAATATCATGGGCATATTGGATTTGACCTCTGAGGTCATCTGACATCGCAAAAGGAAAAAATGATGCAAAAATGATGCCCTTGCAGCAGCGCTAAATCAACGCACCCCTGTAGCAGCGGTAAATAAACCAGCCCATGCAGACGGGATTCACTTTGCACTGACTCGGATTACTGTACAATGCACGTCACATTGCGTTACTATTCATGCATTATGTTGCACGCGCCATGTCTTTGTCATCAGCATTCACCATGTACTGACTTCATACAGAGTGTGCGCGACTTAGAGAGAGAGAGAGATAGATAGATAGATAGATTTTTGGGCATTTTTCTTTCAACCAAGTGGTCACCAACTGAGCGCTTTATTTCCCGGGCAACGCTGGGTGTCCTGCTATATATTTCTATGGCTACATCACATGGGGCATGCTATATTCTTGCTGCATCGTTCTAACGCTTGAAACCCACATTGGCGCACCACATGAGGCTGGGTAATATTTAATTAGGGACTTTAATTGCACTGAAGGTGGATTTACAGTAAAGTACAGTTGTATGCAGTAAAACCTTAGAGTCTAGTATCCCTTTAATTGTTGCCCCGTTCCCCGACAAAGTTTCAGAAGGCTGCATGGGTTTACCATAAGCCCCACTCGTGTGCAGCGATAGAAAATCGCATATTATAAGTCCATAAGAGCAGTGGTTTCAATTTGGTTTAGGTTGTAAAGTTAATGTCAGTTTCAACATATACTTTTATATACCTTGGAGATATATGCTGAGTATCTGTGATATGATAATTCGCTTTGATTTTCAGCTGATCCAGAGTTAATATCGCCAGATGATGATGCAGTTTACCTATGTGGTAATTCTTTAGGCCTACAGCCTAAAACAACAAGAATGTTCGTAGAAAAAGAACTAAATAAATGGTCAAAATGGTATGTGGTAATTTTAATGGTATGTTGAAACTTTTTAAATATGAAGGCTTACTATTTATTCATTAGCTTTTGATCTTCACTATGTTCTCATGCCAGTAGTGTTGACCTTGCAAAATTACAGCCCAGACTAACATTGTACAATCTATAGACGTGACAAACCTACTGATCCATTTACTGTATGCCAATGGCTTAAACTGTCCAACCTTGTACAGCAGTTACATGGATGTATGGGGGGGGGGTGCATGATATTGTGCAAGGAGAATCTTGTAAACCTAGCTTGCTGACGAATTGTTGAATTCAGAAGAAAAAAAGTGGGTCACTGCAGATAATGTGCTCGTAACGACTGCTATGCAGCCACCATCCTTTGTTGTCAGTGTAGTTTTTTGTTTAAAACACTTTCTTCTTTGCAGGGGTGTACATGGCCATGAGCATGTTATGCACGAGGATGGGGATTTGCCGTGGGCCCACTGCGATGAGGCTCTCTATGCTCTGTCCTCAACCATCGTTGGTACTCATCATCTTCCATGGGCTACTTGATTCGTACCTTATCCAGCACGTGCTAGATCAGAGTTGCAGTGCAGATTCTGCATAATTCACTTGTTATTAAATGTAATCCCTGGCACAAGCGCAGTCTGTAATTGCTGACCTCCTAAGTCATTCTGTTTTGAATTGCCCAAACCTGTACTTGATTAGTAAAATTGAATTCATTTATTTAACCTCAACTCATTTGATACGTTATACTGCCGTTACTGACCGATTACCTGATGATGAGACTAAGTGATGAAACTGGTTCCTGGTCTATTCTAACAGTCTATTCTGGTCAGTTCTAATTCTGGTTCTTTGTAACATTTGATAAACCACCTTTTGTTATTTGTGATGTGTACACTTACCGTGATGATAGATATTTTATTAATGATTAATGTTTTTTTAAGTTAGCAGTTATTAATAAAATTTTAATTGCAGGTGCGAATTCAAGTGAAATCGGTATCATGAACAGTCTTAGTGTAAACATACACTTTCTATTAGTAAGTAAAATGTGCATCATTTTTATATATAGTTGTTGATTTCCTATTAATATGAAATGTTAAAAATTCTAGCTATGAATTTTTGGTTCTAGGACAAATACCCCCCAGACAATCACCCCCCGGACAATTACCCCCGGACAATTACCCCCCGGACAATTACCCCCCAATGAGCAATATAAAGAGAGAGCGTACAAC